CTTCCACCAGCCGTTTATAAATTCGTTCTGAACAATGAAAAGGTAAGGTAATATTGAAGCAATTTAATTAATTTGTTAATTAATTTTTTTAAATTACGATACGATGTATTTCAAAATTGTGATACTTTTTAATGAGGAAGAAGATTTTGAAAACAACTAAAAGTTATGATCTGAACTTTGCATAATAGTTGAAATTTTTATTACTTACTCATTAGCTTAGCTAAACAATCCGTAGATAATCGCCTAAAATTTGCATAAAAGATTTTGTGTGGTATAAATTGGTGTAAAGAATGAAAAAAATTAATTTTAATTTTTTTGAAATGAAATAATTGTGAAATTGCTGACTAATTAATTGGTTCAAATATTTTCCATTCAAAATTTATTCTTTCATCATTTTGTTTTCAATGCTTTCCGAAATGTTCATAAAATGATTTATAAGCATTTCTATATTATTTCTGAAAATTTCTCATTTAACATAATTAATTTGTTGCTTTGTTTTAAAATTGAAATTAATTTATTAATGTAATTATTTCAGATTAAAATGGTAAAGAGAAAAATTCGTTTTACTACAAAAAAGCATATTTTCAAAGATCTTTGTCAATTATGGCATTCGTCGATTTCTTTAACAAATAATACCAAAAAGGTAAGATGATAAATTGAGCAATATGAATTCAATTTGTTGAAATTTTCAATTTAAATGTTCGTTTTGCAAAGTTTTAAAACTTTTCCATCACTCTGAAAAAAATGATTCATCATAAGAGTTTTTGCTAAGCTATTTAATTTGACTTAATTCAAAAAGAAAAAAAGACTTAACCAGATTTAATTGATTTCATTCATTAATTAACACAATTCAATTATCCAATCATCTGTTCCAATTATTCTGTATACCGTAATTAATCCGATTGAAAATTTAAATAACTCATTAATGAATTAATGAAATTAGACAAAACAAATTTATTCTTTGCTTTATTCAATATCTTTTTTTTCAATTCAATTATCCAAACATTTGTATTTCATCTGTACCAATTATTTTGTATGCCGTAATTAATCTGATTGAAAATTTAAATAATTCATTAATGAATTAATTAATTAATGAAATTAAACAAAACAAATTCATTCTTTGCATTTATTCAACATTTTTTCGTCGCTTCCTTTTTTTTGTTCAATTTTATTAAATAAAAATTATGTTAAATTTATAAATTAAATTTTAGCTTTTATCTTTTAAAAAATTATTTCTTACTAAAAATTAATTAAAATAAAAATGAAAAATTAATTAAAATAAAAATTTAAAATTAATTAAAATAAAAATTTAAAATTAATTAAAATAAAAATTTAAAATTAATTAAAATAAAAAATTAATTTCTTATTACGCTCGAAATTTCACATAAAATTATATAAATTTTGTGCTTTTTTTAAAAAATCAATTCGAAATTTCTGTAATTTCTTGACAGTCTGTTGAAATTTATTGTAGTAAAGAATGAAAAATTTAATAATCAATTTTAAATTTGCATAATAAATGAATGAAAAAGTGTTTTATTATTTTGCACTTATTATTTTCAAACGTTTCATTGTTGATTGTGGCGATGATAATATGGTGCTATTTTGTAAGTTGCATGTTTGACCTCTGACATAAAAGTATTAAGTTTTGCACTACTTTACTATAGGCATTACTTACTGTTGTTTTGGTCTTTGATACAGATTAATAAATTTTCCACTACTTTACTGTAGGCATACTTATTGTCGTTTTGGTCTTTAATATAGATAAGTTTTCCACTATTTTACTGTAGGCATTACTTACTGTTGTTTTGATCTTTGATACAGATTATGATAAGTTTTCCACTACTTTGCTCCTTTGATTCTTTTAATTGTATAAGAGTTGATCAGCTAAGATATGTAGCATAGGTTTTTATCGATTTGATTTATTTGGTGATTTAACTTATCTGGACCTTTTCAAACTTTAACTTATCTGAAATTAATTTACCATTGGAAAAAGCAAAATAAAAAAAGAAGGGCATGATTAATTAGATCACTTAAACTTAACTTCGTTCTGATTAATTGGATCACCTAAATTTTACAAAAATCAAAATTCCATTTTAAAATGAAGGCTTAAATTTATCTTAGCATAATCAACTAATTATCTCATTCATTTGATTTTAAATTAACAATTAATTATTAAATGATTTTTAATTGAATACAAATAATTCTTTTAAATTAATAATCACAAGTTTTCAAAATTTTAATAGTAAATTTTCACAAAGCGATTTGTGATTAAACCATTAAATAATTCAAATTTTTGTGATCATTCTTTTTCGATAAATTATTCTCGACTAAATTGAAATGGATTTTTCATATGCTAAAAAATGAACCAGCTAATAGCGATCCTCCTAAAATGTAATTTATTTTTTGCACGGCAAAAATTTGAAAAAAATGAAACGATTGAGTGAAATATAATAAGTTGTTTGGTTTGTCAACAAAATAAATAAAAGCTGTCAATAAAAGATTGAAGGGTTATTTTTTTGAAATCCCAAAAAGAAGTAGTAAACGGAGTAAAAGACAAATAAATTCATTGTGGGATATTTTTCCAAATGAAGAGAAGACAATCGCACAAATGAGTAGAATGATGATTGGTAAAATTTGCGCTCGGATATAAATTCCATCAGGATTTAACCAATTAATTAGGTTCAATCATAAAAGTTTAACGCCTATTGGGGCATTCAGGCTTATCATATCAGCTATTTTTAATCGTAATCAAGAAAAAGAAAGTTAAATTAGATAAACTTTCGATAAAATCAATCATATAGCCTTCCGTATTTCGTCTAAACATTTTGATATCTTCCGTATATCATCTAACAATACTTCTAATATTGTAATTGTATAATAAGATGATAATTTTGATTACTTATCACTATACTTGATAGCGTATTATTTTCAATCTAAAATAATCTAAATTAGCAATTCTATCGCTATCTCATCTTCAGCAGAACACTGAAGATTGATTAATGTTATATTAATTTCCAACTTATTTTCTTTAAATTAAATAAGTTGAAATAAGTATGAAATTTAATTTTTGTAATTAAGCTCAAATATTTTCAATCATTTAAAATTGAAATTAATTATACTAGAAAATAAAATATTAAAACGTTTATTTCTAGAAATTGCTCAAATCATTGTCTGTTGTAAAGACAAACGTTGCAAATGGATTATTCTTTAAATTAAACTCTTCAAAAACAATTTCATTTGATGATACATTATCCAACAAATGCTTTGTATGTTTCTTTCAATTTTTCATTAAATGAAATTTTTATTTTATTGAAAAATAAAAGGGTGAAAAAAAACAAACAAACAATTATCATTTATTCATCGTGTTTTATCATTTATTCATCACAAATGCATGCATGCATGCATGCATGTGTGTTTGCAATGAAATGGATTTTTCATTGATTTCGTGCAAATAATTCATTTGGAATAATTGCCGATCAATTTTAGGAATTAAAGAAAAATTTATAAAATTCCATTTAAAATTATTTTATGAATTTATAAAATTCCATTTAAAACTCTTTTATGAATTTCTAAAATTTCATTTAAAACTATTTTATGATTTCATTTTTAAAAATTCGTTTTATTTTTATTCGATTTGATTTTATTGAATTCATTATCATATTCAATTAAATAATTAAATTTTATAATTAATACTGCAACTCATTTCTTCTTTCGCAAAATTTACAATAACTTATTTTCTATTCCAAATGTGGCAAATTATTTAATTTCAATTCAAATTTGATTATTCAATTTAATCAAATTATTTCATGGAGAAATTAAAATTGAATATTTAGACAGTCTCTTATATTATTCATTAATATAACTATAAATTTTATGCTTCTCAAAATTTTAAAAAACTTAAAATTAAAATCCTAAAAATATACACACTTTCGAGAAGCATTAAATATCTCTCTTCTCCAATGATATCATTTTTAATGTGAATTTAAAACTATTGATAGTGTAGCATTTGTGACAATTCAATTTAACCAACTGCTGCTGCAAGTTTTCTTCAAAGTGATCCGTTACGAAAATAACACAACAAATTGTTAGAGTAATTAATCCCTATTAATAAGCAATTAATATTAACATACTTTAGTGATATTTATACTTATTAAAATTTGAATATGCTGAATATGCTTAATTAAAATGAATAATATTAACTTTTGGTGATTCATTTTTTTGTATTATTACTATTCACTCTAATACTTTCAAATATTCATATTTCTTTCTTTGATTTAAAAGATCGACATAAATTTAACGTTCTTTTTCACTTCTTCAATACCCTAAATTTCAATCAATCAATCGATCAATCAATCAATAAACATAATGAAACATTAAAAGGAATAACTGAAAGTTATTTTCCTTCCGCTCTCTCTCTTCCCGAATAATCCTCTTCTCCGTGATTGTAATTTTCCGTTTCACCCGTTTCTACCCTCTTTATATCTCTTCTATTTTTCTCGAATTACTTCTTCTACAACGAATACATCTATATATATATATATATGCTGTGTTGTTGACAGAGAAATCAATAAATTTTTGCATCACTTTGTTTGTGTCTATCTTGCCTTATTTTTTTTTGCATCTATTTTTCCTATTTCTTATATTTTATGCGGCCCTAAGCTTTCAGTTAATAATAGGCAAGTATAGATCTTTAAGGCCTTGTTGTTGACGCAAATGCAAATCCATTAAATGAAAAGTATTTTCCTCCTCATTTTTTCCAAATTTCATTTGTGTGTCTTTTTTTTTTGCTGCTATTGCTGTTGTTGTTGTTATTGTTATTGTTTTAGCTTTTTTTGTTGTTATTGTTATTGTTTTAGCAAAATTTTGTAATGTTTACTAAAATTGAAAATTGCAGAATTTTACAAAATATTAATTAAATTTTAATTAAATTATTTATTAATTAAATTTTGTTGAATGAAATTTTTTTAAAGAAATATATTTAGAAATAGTTATCCTATCTAATGAATATAGCAAATGTATGTCATTTTATTTCATTTAATTTCGTAATTTTTAAAACGAAATTTCTTTCAAATATAATATTGTTGACAGTAAAGCAAATATACAATTACCGTTAAGCAGCATGCAAATTGCAAATTGCAAATCAACAAATATGCATTGCAGAATGCATGCAACAAATTAGCAATTAGAAATGTCAAAATATGCAACAGTGTTTCTAAATGCTAATAATTCGTTTAAAAAAATTTGAAATATATTAATTTCAAATTTAGAAAATAATACAATGTAATTGATAGTGTAGAAAATAGGACGTATAGGGAATTAACTTATTGCAAATAATATAATAAGTATATTTACTAATAAAGAAACGAGTAATTGAGTTAATGAATTGAAAATATTTTATAGTATGCATTGAATGAAAGTGATGTGGAACAACAGAAAAGATTAGACGAGAAGAAATTGGGTAATGGTTTGACACCAAGCGATAATGATATTAATGATAACGATGAAATGGATGAATTATATTTCACATCGTTTGTTTCCATTTTCAATTTCAATTTAAATTTTTCTTTAAAAATTAATTTTTAAATAAGCAAACTTTTTGGAATGAAATTGAGGTGGTTTTTTGTTAACATTTAAATGGAGTTAAGAAAATTGCGAAATTTAATTGAAGAACAATTAAGGCAAAAGAGAAAGAAGAAAAGATAACGAAATTTTTTTGAATAAAATTTTATTTAAATAAGTATAATAAGTAATTCATAGTAATTTAATGAATAATCGAAATAATGGAATTCAGTAAATACTATAGGTAAAGTAATTTAAATAGGTAGGTATAGGTAAAGTAATTTAAATAGGTAGGTATAGGTAAAGTAATTTAAATAGGTAATTATAGGTAAAGTAATTTAAATAGATAAGTAAAATATGGTAATGAATTATCGAAATAATGGTATTCAATAAACACTATAGGTAAAGTAGTTTAAATAGGTAAGTATAGGTAAAGTAATTTAGATGGATAAGTAATTTAAATATGGTAATGAATAATCGAAATAATGGAATTCAATAAATGCTAGAGGTAAACAGGGAATAAATTTTATAAATAATAGAATCTTATGTTAGCATTTTTTAAGTTTTAAATTACATTTTATTTTTAGGAATTTCAAATCATTAATAATAAAATTTTAAGTTACATGAGGAAGGAGAAAAGTTTATTTTTTTTATTATTAAAGAAACAAATTTAATTCACACTTTTATGGACGAAAGTAAATTAATTTTATCGAATGGATTTCTTGAAAAAAAGCTTTTAAAAAAATTGACTATATTTTAAATATTAATTTCTTATAATTATGAATGGATAAATTCATTGCATTTAACAAAAGGTATAGTAAATCTTTTCCTAATGCATAATTAACAGTAAAATTTAAGCATACTATATAATGGACGAAATAAAATTGATTTTGTTAATTAAATTAATTTTGAATATAATTGATTTTGAACATGATTTTGAATATAATTGAATATAATTGACTTTGAATATAAGTGATTATTATCTAATTAACAAAAATTGATTTTGTTAATAAGATAATAATAAAATTGATTTTGTTAATTAGATAATAATAAAATTGAATTTATTAATTAGATTTTTTTAAAGTATTTTTAATTATGTATTTAGTAATTTAAGTGCTAGCAAAAAAATATTTTTTTTTAGAAATAGCAAAAGAAAAAGAATTTAAGGAAATGAATTATCAAGTTGCAGAAAAGAATTATTATCTGACGTATCACATAAAACAGCGTTATCATTACCATCACTAACAACAGCAACAACAATGATTGATATGCCGGATTCAAAATTTCCTCTTGATAATAATAATAGTACAAGATGTCAAGGAAACAATAGCAATGATACTATTGATAATATCGGTATGAAATTATCAATTTTATTTCCTAAAAATTTATTTCGCAACAAAATTTTAGTTTCTTTTCGAGACCTTCTTTTTCATTTTGCACGTACTTTTTCAGAATTTTATTTTAGAAATTACATTGAATTCATTATTGTTGTTCTAGTAAAGTATTAGCAAAATTCAGTGCTACGGGAAATTTTACAAATGTATTTCAAATGAAACAAAAAATTTAATGGCTCAAATGATATATCGTAATGCTTGATTTGAGCGTTGCAACTTTTCTTTAATGAAATCATTAAATTTTAATTTGTAATTTAAATTAATTAAAAGAGTTTAAAATATGATAATAATTTTTCAACTATTTTATTTTAATATTTCAGTACAAATTTGCCTTTTCTTTCAGAAGCAAATGTTCCATGCCAATGTCAATCACATTTAGGCCGATTATTTGTAGACGAAGTATATCCATTAACAACAAAACAACTCTTTGCTATTCTTTTTTCACCAACACCATGGTATCATCATTTAGATGAAATTGTCAACAAAACAGGTAAGCATATCATATCGGATTTTTGAATTTTAAAAACTTAGCTAATAAACAATAGAAAATTTGAAGTTGAAAAATTCTTCAATTATTCAAATTTTCTCATCTTTCGTTAAAATAATGAAATGGATTTAATTTTTGGTTTCAAAATTTCAGCACATGGAAGAATGTTAAATATTGTAACTGGTAAGTAATTTTCTTTTGTTCTTTTCTATCACATTCCGAATTTTTAATTTAAATTTTTTTGAATTTGTTTCAATTTTCTTCTTATTTGTAATTTTAGAATTTATTTGATATTATGTTATTATTCGTAGATGACTTTCACATCATATCTATTCTATTTTTCGTCGAATGATTTTTTCCCACTATTTGACATCAATCCATATATCACTGCTACTATTACTACTACATCAATTAATGATATCACGTTTTGGCAGATTATGTAGCAACATCGTGGATAACGGAAAATTCTACTGTTACTACACGAAAAGTAACTTATAATATGGCACTAAATAATGCGTTAGGTCCAAAGAGTACATCAGTTACGGAAAAACAGGTTTTCGTTTCAAATATTTTCATTTGTTATTAATTTCAATAAAAATTATTTACACTTAAATAATTTCAAAAGTTTCGACAAAAATATAAACTTAAGTTTTTTTTTGCTTTTTTTCTTTGTTCATTCTATTTCTCTGTTATTTCAAGAAAGTAAATCAAAAAGGAAGATTGTAAACAATTAACATAATTACATTTATTTTCCTTTCCTGACGTAAATGACGTTCGATGGTATCATCAAGCGTCATTTACGCTCCTTCCTGTACCATCGAAGGTCATTACGCTCCGTTACTTATACCATCAAACGTCATCAACGTCCTTCCCTGCTGTACTATCAAGCGTCATCTACGCTCCTTCCCTGTACCATCATCAAACGCGATCTACGCTGCTTTCCTATACCATCAAACGTCATTTGCGCTTCTTCCCTATACCATCAAACGCGATCTACGCTGCTTTCCTCTACCATCGAACGTCACTTACACTTCTTCCCTATACCAACAAGCATCATCAACGCTGTTTCCCTATGCATCAAACGTCATTAACACTCCTTCCATATACCATCAAACGCCATTTACGCTCCTTCCCTGTACCATCAAACGTCATTTCCGCTCCTTCCCTACACCACCAGACATCATCTTCGTTCCTACTATTCTCCGTACCGTCAAGCATTATCTAATATCATCTCTTCCATCATATTTTAGGCATGTTACGGATTTCGTGGTGCTAATGTTGGATTCAAAGTGATAAAGGAGATTCAAAATTCAGGCATACCATATGCGGATAATTTCATTATTCAATGTACTTATTGCGTAATTCGGGCAAGTCACACACATTCCCGATTACTTGTACATGGTGCAATGGTACAAAAGAAAAGTATTTGGGGTATTGTTAAAGGTAAATGTTTTAATTTAATTTAAACAATAACTTCGATTAATGCAATAGGAAATCATTTAATAGAAGAACTCCTTTCACCGTCGTCTCTATTGTTGCCATAATACTATGACCTATATATTATTTCTCTTCCATTTATTGATATAGGGTTATTTTAAATGATGTCATAAATGATATCATCTTTATCTAAGCCTGGAACACTACTCGAATCATACGAAGATAATGATCCAAATGTAATTGTGCTTGGAATACCATTCTTCCATCAATATTGCGTTACGTTGAAACCACATGATCATAATATTATTTTC